AAAAACACTGTTTTCAGACCTAAAATACACTTATTTTTAAAGGAATTAAAATCCATACAATTTATTACTATTTATATGACTTTATCATAGTAATATCAAATATACGTTTACAGTAGTATTAGGCTAGCAATTTATGGTTATCTCAGCACATATTTACACAATAATAAACATATATTTTCATTATATTTTGCTTAAAATCTTGTATTTCATCTATTATTTCACTTTCTATTAAGATATCAAACGAGAAATTTGTGTTTCATTTCGCTTTTTCAACACAAAAATCAATGAAAACTACTTTTTTCTCATTAGCCATACATAAAAGCAAAGTAAATATGAAATGCGTTTTGATTGTAATCAATGATTGGTAACAATCGCTCGTATTTTTTGTGAGCCATTAAATTATGTCATTATTCGTATACATGGAGACTATACGTACGGTATAACCGTTTTTTATGCCAAAAATTAAGATATAGTCCGTTATGTTTAGTCAGGAGTAGGCAGTGATCGACAATAAAAAGCTGTTGTCAGTGATTAATGCATAAAAGGTCTCATATATTATTATAAATATAAGAGTATTAATGTATTNTCTGGTCAGACAGCTCGTAGTGGGGCCGCGACTTGCAGTACGTCAGGATCTCCCAGAAGGTTGTGCTGAAGCTGTAGACATCGGATTTGGTGCTGAATCGGCCGTCGATGATCGACTCCGGGCTCATCCACCGTATGGGCATACCGTTGAAATAGTCGGCCCGATATTTGTCCCGATAGGAGCCCGAGTCGCTGATCCGCACCGACAGGTTCTTGGCGATGAATATGATGTTACGGGCGCTGAGATCCCGGTGCGTGCGGCCCATCGACTCCAAGTAATTACAGCCCTTCGCTATCTCGCTGGCCATGTATACTAACGTCCCGTAACTAATGTGTCATAAATTGAAAAAAGGATTTTTAATTACTACTAAATGTTAAGAAAATACATTTATTTTCAATGATATTTAGATAAGACTTTTTTTGCAATATATTGTTTTAATTAATTTTGTTTTAAAAACAAATTTCTCTCTTTATTTAAGTTTATCTTTCAGTGAAATCTCAAAACAAATAAAAAATATTTCATAACTTAATTGAAAAACTAATATATTTATTATACACACAATATATTTTGAGTCGTTGTATATAACCTGTTATTTCTTATAAACCATCAAATCTCTCGCAAAACTGATAGCAAACAAAATGATAGCCCGAGTGTTGTGCAGAAAAATATGATTTTATTATAAAACTTTTATAGAAATTATTTTTTGTAATCTGTTTTAAAACACACTCACTTATTATTTATTAAACCGTGGCTCAAGTTATTTAAGAAAATAAAGAAAACTTTTCTATTTATATTTATACAACATTTAATATGTAAAGTAATGTTTTATTTTTCTTAAATATTTTATTTTAACCGTATTTTAAAATTATTACGCTTTTTATATTCCTCTGTTGTATGGGTTTAGCCCTTAAAAAAGTATAAATAATATAAAAACTTATATATTTCTCGTGGTATATATATTATAGTGGATTATACATTGTATAATATAATATAAACAGGTTTAATATTAAAAAGCTCTGTTGCTAGAGTGGTGTAAATGCAATGCAATACCCATTTTGTATAACATAATCTTAATTTTAAAAATTCAAAACTTATTTTTCTTATTAGTATTTATTCCCTAAACTAAAGAGGAATCAGATGTTATGAAAGCCGTGTTATAAGACTCAACAGTATTGGCATAACTTGTCTTCTCTTTAAACCTCTAATTTGTGGATCAAATCAAATGTTTAAAAAGTTTTAAACCATAACTACAACCAATACTGTTGTAATTTGGCATACATTTCTTGTACTCTATATTGTTATTCATATAATCAGTTGAGTTTCACGAATACTGTTGTATTAAAGGCTATAATTTGTTTGATTCAAAGCCCAGATATTTTTAATAATTTTGTTTCTTATATTACTGTATTCAATATGAAAGCGTATAATATTATGTTTGTATTTCTATAGAATTTTATTATTTTATATTTTTTCGCTCTCGAGTTAATCATAATATTTTTGCAAACAAAATAATATGCCTTTCCATTCAAAAGAGTTATCTCTTTTCAAAAGTAGTTTTTTAATATTAACTAAAAAATCTCTTTTAATAAAAAACAGTTTTAAAGTCTTTTGAATAGTGTTTCTAAAAAAGTAGGATAAATGACGTGAAAAGATGGGAGGGAATGGATGGTTAGGATGTGGAGAGAGAGAGAGAGAGAGAGAGAGAGTGAGAGAGAGAGAGAGAGAGAATTTTAATTGAAACTGAAAGTCAGTAATAAGAAAATTCCTTCTCTTTTCTCTTATCGCCTTTGATTTCTTGGTTTGAAATTAGACTTAAACTCATTATATATTATATGAAATACTCATAAAAATTTTCTCATTTCATTCGCAATTCAATCCAAAAACTGATTTGAAAAATACATTTTTATCTGTTTCTAAATATAGTGTAATTGACCGCACATTGACTGTAAGGGCGCATAACAGGCCGGGTAGTTATACCGCATGTGAGAGACATATATCAATGTTAAGAGTAAATTAGATTTTGATATAATATTCGCATTGATCTGAAGCACCAGAACCTGATATTTGCGTGTTTTATATCATTAACACTCGACTAATATTTAATAAAGTTATTGATAGAAATCGTATTAAATTTAATGGAGAGATACACACACTTCATATACTTTGTATAAATGAGTTTCAATACTTATGTATAGCATTAACGCAAAAAATTATATTAATTTAATCAATATATTCGTCGCATTCATAATATTATGCAATTTCGGATTTTTGTGTATGTTTTTCATTGCATTCATGAATTCATTCCGCAATTTAATTATACAAATATATGTATTTCTCGATTCACGTAATTAAATACTATATAAGAGAATAATGTTATCCATAAGAGGACCAAGAATTTAATCATTAATGATATTTCTGGAAACAAACCTCTCTCTCTCTCTCTCTCTCTCTCTCTCTCTCTTAATTCTGGTTCAATCACGCAATTCATTTGCAGAGCAACGGAAAAACGTTATAATTTGTTTGAAAAAACAACTTTAAATAAGAAATATATTTAAGAGAAATATTTTCTCTCCTAAGCAATGAATTCATGATAACATATCGTCAATGCATTAGTAAATTGTCGGTCAACTCAAGTAAAAAAGGTTTGCAACGAAAACAAAAATCGACAAAATTCTCGAAGAATTCGTTTATTTCTTTCCGATAAATAGTATCGATTTCTGTGAGTGAGGGCACCGGGAGTTCGCTGTGCGCCAGAAAACAATCTCTGTTTTTAATCATTTAAATGTCGACTAATATATCTTACATATTATCTGAGTCTCAAATCAGGATATATTTCTCACATCTCATTCATTGCATGCGATTCTATGCATAAGTGTTGAGCAAAAAACGGCGTTATTTGCAGCGATTGGGAGACTAACTCTTTGCTCAAATATAACGTGAAAAACCTTAATCTTAAATACATTAATACTCTTATATTTATAATAATATATGAGACCTTTTATGCATTAATCACTGACAACAGCTTTTTATTGTCGATCACTGCCTACTCCTGACTAAACATAACGGACTATATCTTAATTTTTAATACATTAATACTCTTATATTTATAATAATATATGAGACCTTTTATGCATTAATCACTGACAACAGCTTTTTATTGTCGATCACTGCCTACTCCTGACTAAACATAACGGACTATATCTTAATTTTGGGCATAAAAAACGGTTATATCGTACGTATAGTCTCCATGTATACGAATAATGACATAATTTAATGGCTGAACACAAAAAATACGAGCGATTGTTACCAATCATTGATTACAATCAAAACGCATTTCATATTTACTTTGCTTTTATGTATGGCTAATGAGAAAAAAGTAGTTTTCATCGATTTTTGTGTTGAAAATACGAGTAAATGAGTGGAAAATAGAGTGGAAAAAGCGAAATGAAACACAAATTTCTCGTTTGATATCTTAATAGAAAGTGAAATAATAGATGAAATAAAAGATTTTAAGCAAAATATAATGAAAATATATGTTTATTATTGTGTAAATATGTGCTGAGATAACCATAAATTCCTAGCCTAATACTACTGTAAACGTATATTTGATATTACTATGATAAAGTCATATAAATAGTAATAAATTGTATGGATTTTAATTCCTTTAAAAATAAGTGTATTTTAGGTCTGAAAACAGTGTTTTT